AAGATCATTCAGGCCTTCAGTAATGGTACCAATATTCATCCTCTGGCTTCCATTTTTAAAGTCCATTCAAGAACCATCAAGAGAATGGTGAATAAGTTTAAAAAAGGGGATCAGTAGAAAGGGAAACTGGATCAGGAGGTCACAACAGGAAGAGGGATCATCATTTCAACTTGGAGCTAAAGAGATCAATTAGAAAAGATCCAACTCAATCCTTAAGACATTTGACACATGAAAGAGGAGTTTCACCTGTGACAGTCCAAAGAGCTGTGAAAAAGAGACTTAAAAATGAAATTGTATATGAAAGCTGTGAGGCAACTTGTTATTCCAGGACAGAAAGTTAGGTTACAGAGATCATCTTGGATAATTTGGAAAATGATCCTGGAATATTATATATACTGGAACTTTATTTCAATCCTTCATGAGCTTCCGATCCTTACCTATAATTAATTAATGATGACCATGTCATTTTCGTTTATGATCAATTTCATCATGATACTTCTGTTAACCTTAGAGAGTAATTATATGTTCTTATTGCTCAATGTAGAGTCCAATAGTGTTATAAAAACCTCAGGGAATTCCAGTAAGATATCTTTAATCATTTCTAAGATACAAAAGTTCAAAGCCTAATCTAACAATTGGACAATTTTGCTGTTACACCCGGTGTGTAATATATATATATATATATATATATATATATATATATAAATATATATGTGTGTGTGATCTCACATAATCATATGTATTGAATGTTTTCTTGATGTGTATTTAAGCATAGTTTGGCATTTTTTAATTTTTGGCACTCTGTAGGCAACTTGGTTTTTGAAATAAATAAAATCTTTGTGCTGCCAATGCAGGTGATTTCATCATAATCATGATAAAATAATATATAGTACTTGCTTTACCAACTGATTTTTGATGAAATGAGAAATCTATCAATACTTTTTATAATCACAATGAATATTTTTCTCTCTCTCTCTCTCTCTTCTTTTGTATACAAGGTACCTAAATATACTTTATTAAAGCTTGAAAAACAGATATTTCAAAAGGTATATATAAATATATGCAAAAATATAAAAGAAAGAGGCGGAAGTGAAAGTATAACCAAAAGAAAAGAACAAATTACCATAAAAATAGTGCATGGAAAAAATTATAACAAAATAAGGGCTAATCAGTTATTGATCCTTGCTCTTCAGATCCAATAGAGGACGAGAAAAAGGTGGAGAAAGAAAAAGATTACAAGCAGAGAATCAATAGTATACATTACAAACAGATTACATTTAGACCCAGCAGCCATTCCTTGTGGGAAGGCTGCTTAGACTTAATATAAATGGTCTAAGAATTCTCAGATGGTAATCTGAATATCCTTTGCTGGTCATGGTGAAAAAAAATCCCTGGAGTAAGACAAGGCACAGATTGGATTATTTATTAAATGTTCTGTGATAACAGAAGCCGAAGTATTCACAAATGTGTCTATTTTCATACTGACCTTGATGGGATCTTACATGACATGATCTGATCACTCCTAGTCTACAACCACTGATTTGTTCAACCAATATAGTCAGCATCACAATTGACATTTGTAATTATAGATAGGCGAACTAAAATGATTGAGAGTGGGGACAGAATATCTTTTCAGATGGATTTCAGCATAGGATTGGAAGTAAAAACAGTCCGTAGATTGGCAGAAAAATAGCATAGTGATGAGTGATTTGCCTAGCAAATCTAGTGCTAACCTTGTTACAGATTATTTACTCTCCCCTCACAGATTCCTTAACTATTTATTTCTGTATAATGGGAAATAAACTGTTAAATGGTACATACACAGAAAATAAAGCCAGTTGTGTAAATTAACAAGAAAAATAAAGTTCTGGTTTCTGTAAAAGCCACTAGAATGGTAAAAACAAATTACTGCTTAAAAGGTAGTTTGACTGGTGGTACAGTATACACTTCTATTTATCTGGTTTCATCAAAAGATTGTAAAAGTTAATGTCAAGTGAACAGTATGCTGATGGAAAGTGAATTTCTAAGTTAATGCTATTTTATAAGATTCTCTTGATCTCTTGTTGCATAAAGCTTATTAATTCAACTTTGTTATGTTGACTAGAAGCCAGAGAAATTGACAACTGAAAACCTTGTAAAGGATATAATAACTTTTAGCAATTTGACAGCAAAAAAAGTCTTGCCACTGCAGGTGAATCCAATCATTATTTTTTAATTTTCATATCCTCCCATAGCAAAAAAAAAAAAAAAAAAATTAACCACCACCATCTTGGCCAAATTTCTATAACACGGTCACTAAAGTTGAAGGATCTGGAAAAATAATGCAATGGCAGGGGAAGCAGTTCCTATGAATAATGCAAAGTGCTAAAGTTAAAAACAAGATATATGGATAATAATTAAAGGCAAAAAGCAGGATAGACTTACAAATGTGCTGTATATCAAATTTGCTTTCATAAAAATATATGCCTTATGCATGGAGAAATCCATATGCATACATATAGTCATGATAATCATAATGTGGATTGCTTTTACATGTTTGGTTTAAAGCAGGCCTGTATAATCAAAAAAATGTGAAGGGTCATGGTGATCAGAGAAAATTAACTGCAGAATGCAAAAGTAATTTTTTAAAGTAAATTACTGAGCTGAGATAGAAACAGATATATATATATATATATATATATATATATATATATATATATTTGTATCTTAGCCATGCGCATCCTAAATTCCTGTAGCCCTGATCTAACTGGCTGTACATTAGGATCTTGGGTATCCTGTCATCAGACATTCTCAAGACATGACCAGTCCACTGTAACTGAGACTGTATGATAAAAGTCTCGATTCCTCCAATATTATACCTGTTAAACCTGTTTTTTATATATATATATATATATATATATATATGTATAATGTATTGGGGATGGCAAGAAAATTATTTCTTTTTCTATGGAGAGTTAAAAGGATTAATTAGATACAAAGATTGAAATACGAGTTGAATAAAGTTATACTTCTATGAAACTGAATTTTTTGTATGCAATTAGTTGCTGAATTTATTCTGAGGAACACAAAAAAAATGGACTATTTTGAAAACCTCTTGTGGGCTACTATGGGTATTCTAGTGCACCTCATGTAATAGGGCAAGTCTATTTTGGAACTGTGGTATTGCACTCAATTTGAAAGTTGGTGTTTGACATGATAAATAATGACACAAAATGTTTTTTTTTTTTTTTCAAATTGTTACCATTTTTTGCGAAGATGAATTTAAAGATTAAGTTTAGGTTCAAGATTGTCGCATTGAAATTTAATTCCTGTGATCAGTGAAAGTTGTATACCACAGCCTCATAAAATTTATAATTTACTGAAGCTTTACAAATTGTATATGAACAAAATGCAAAGCATAATCTCATTATTACTAAATCATTGTGCCATCAAATAAAACCTTCATTTACTTCAAAGGGAAATTATACCGAACAATTTAGCTATATTATGATGCAAGATGTTATACAGTGCAGTAGTTTTAGTGTGACTTTTAATAATGCAAATGTAAAACATTTTGTCTTAGAATTTGTGCCCAGCAGTATTATGATATTAGATATACTTTTATTTATTTTTTTGTTTTTATAATTATGATTTATCAAAAGATCTAACAAATCTTATTCATTGAGTAGCCTTTTTTGTAATCTTTTACAGTTTTTACTCATTGAATACAATAAAAAAAATGGATATTTTGCTTGTGGTCATCCATAATTAGACTTCTGGTTTTAATATATTTTCCATTCAATGTATCTAACACAAGAGATATTAACTTTATTTGGATTTATTCTTGAAATAGTAAATTTTTTAATTCAGTTTGTAAGCAAAAACCTGAAGAAATTAGGTATTTCTGTACATTTTTTTTCATATGATCTTTAAAAGTAAATGTTCAAAAATTGGTAAAAGCTGTGAATCTAATTTTTGGTGTCAGTACTTATCACATCAAACTCCAGCTTTCACACAGATTGCAATATTGATTTTCTAAAAAAAAAAAAAAAAATTGAAAACTCAACCTGCCCTACTCATACAGTCTGGGATATTGAATATTTTGTTTTAGTGTGAAAGTAGTCATTCAAAAATAGATATGATTACTTTTTTTCTTTCTGCTGATTTAGGACTTCTTTTTCTACTGAATGTTTATAAATTTCTCAAACCTTCATATTTTTCACTGTTTAACCTTTTTTCCTCCCACATTTAACATCATAACTGTCTGAATTCCGTAACGCTTTTTGATTGCTTGAAATGTCTTTTTCCCTTTTAATTCATTTGAAATGATTTCATTTTTGTTTTCTTCATTAAATATATATTCTCACAAGAATACAAGGTGTTCCTTAAATTTCTCAGGATAACCAATTTTCCAAAATCAGTATTGTCATTAAATATTCATTTTGGCAAGTTCGTTAGGCTGTAAATTAATTGGCACCTTCTCATGCTTAATAGTTATAAATTGTTGTGAAGATCCTGTCTAGCATTTGCAATGGCAGTCTCAATTTTTAATCTTTAATTGATAATGCTTTTTTTTTCTTTTTTTTTTTTTTTTATCCTATTGAAGCTTATTGACTTTTTTCTTTTACTTTAGAAGATTATTTAATGTGAGATTCTTTAAGTGATTAGTATTGTACTAAGAACTTATATTATTGTACTATTATATATTAGTAAAATCTATGACAAAGTGGGGAAAATATTTTTGTTTGAGGCATTTCATCCTTTAGAGCTTCATCAGACGTTTTTCCACTTTAACTCAGATTTTTCTAAAATTATTCTGATAGATAAAAATTTATATGCTATTTTCACACACACAGATATAATATATATTTATGGTAAGGAAGTGTGGCATTTCAATTTTTTTTTTCCATTTGTTTTTTTTTTTTCTTTTTTTTTCTTTTTAACTAATATTATTTTTGTTATTGGGACTTTATTTAGTATATTAATTTTTTTTTCTTATATCTGCCCTCTGCTGTTCACAGGTTATGCCCATTCTGCCGGACCTGCTTTGACAATGCTTGGGATATCAAGCCTCTCAACAGGTGTGTAGAAATCTGACAATATCAAGTTAAGGTGCATCACTTTCCCTCTTGCTTTAATTTTTTGGTATAAATCTTTATAGAGTCACGCAGATTAATATTAATCTTTTCACCCCACCCTTCCTTCTCTAGAGATAACGTGTCTATAGATGAGAATACAGATATTGTAGAGTGAAGAATCTTATACTTATGTATATTGATTTAAAAAAAAAAAAATTCTTTTTTTTTTGTTTCTGGAATGAGGAATTATCATTATTTAGCGTTGGATCAATATCCACATCTTTTTGTTGTTACTATCATTGTAGTTCCAGAGTAAAATAGCTCAAATTATGAAATTGTTGGCATAATAATTGGGATTTCAATTCCTGTGCCATGTAGTAGTTTCAAACTTGGTGGAAACATGGCTAGAAATAACTGAACAGTACTGAAAAAAGGAAAAGATATCTGTAAACATGGACAGTGTATTAAGAACAATCCACCTCTGAAGATTAAATTACCTTATAAAATAATTATTATTGTCCTTTTTGAACCATGGTTAGCAGTAATTGAGGAGTACTGAAAAAAAAAAAGGACAAGATGGACAGTGGATTGAGAACCCCTGAAGATTACACATAATTATTATTGTCCCTTTAAAACATGAGCAGAAGATGAGATATTCCTAGACCTGTACAGCAGTATAAGAATTTATCCCTGTAGATTAAATAAAGAGATCTTTTTGAAATTCTCTGAAGGTTACCTAGATTGACAGACATCTGAAGAAGGCTGAAAGAGCCCACAGACAAAATATTATGATAGTAACAACAAAGATGAGGATATTAGTCTGACCGTAAATAATGTAAATAATTTTTCTCAAAAAAATTAAACCTAGTTTATTGATGTTTCTTATATATATATATATATATATATTATCGTTAATAAAAGTGAATGTTGCTTCTGACAATTACGTATCCTCTAATCAGCAACTTGCTATTCTTATCCAACAGTTTAGATCTGTGAATATTTAAAGTTATCTTTTTTTTTTTTGTCTCATGAAAACAATGTACTAGGTAGCAATGATGCAACACTGATTAGTTTTCTAGTGATTGGCTCCAACATGACAAATATAACATCCATTTTGTACCTTGAATTCTTGTTGGAATCTTTTGGCTAGAAATTAATTGCTTATGTTTGGTCATTATTGAAGGAGTAATTATTTTGGAAATATGAACAAGTTGTGGGGATTCAGTAAAAGCCACCATACTTCTAGTGTTTAATTCTCTGAAATAATTAATTGATATTGATTTTCCTGTCTCAATGTTTGGCTGTTAAGATACAAGCTCTTTTGTATGCAAGAAACAAAGTATTAAGAGATGTCTTCTTTCATGAAACATTGTCAATTTGTAGAGTTTCTTATTTTAACTTTTCCTTAAATGTGTATAACTATTTTCTCTTTTTTCAATACCTTTTGTTGCTAAGCTTTCTAATTTGTTGATTTGGCCATAAAATTAAATTGCTTTCAAGGTTAGTATTGTGAATAATTTTGCATCATTTTTTGATGGTTTGAATGCCTTTTTGTTGTCCTCAAATGATTATAGAAATCTAGTTCCATCTGGAGATACAAGAAAGAATATCATTTTTTTTTCTAGGAATGAAAGCTATTTCTAAAAAACAACAAAAAAGGCAAAATTATTTTGTGATGCACAATATATTTGTTGATATTAACTGAATGATAGGTGTTAATATGAGGAAAAAATTGCTTTCAGATGAAATGAAAATGTTATTCTTATCATTGTTGTCTTTTATAGTATATGAAAAGATGTTCAAAAGTTCTTGGTCTGACCATCAAGTCCTTCAAGACAAAATACTGGTATTTGAGCAGATTTTTTTTCAGCACCCTCCTCATATTAGAAAAATGTCACTTACTCCTTGGAAAAAAATATATATTGATTCATAAATAGCTTATTGCAGTTTATAAATATTTTAATAAGCATCATTTGATATTTTTTTTTTTCCATGAAATGATGATAGTAAATTTTTTTTCCCTTCTCTTCAGTTTTATGCAAGAATTGGTAGGATTTATTATTCATATCTATGAAAAGTGACTCCCTGAAAAAAAAAAAAATAACAATTTTGGTAGAGAAAAAGCCATTTCATTTTATTCTGTGATGGGAATAAAGACTGAAATATTACCAACCACTCTTTAATTATATATATATATATATATATATATATATATATATATATATAATACACACTACACACATAAATTCTATATGTAACTGCTGCTTGACAAGTCAAATGCATGTGAAGTCTGCATAACTAATGCAAAATTAAACAACCCAAATTAAAAATATAGTAATTATCTCAAGCTGTGCTAAGTAATAATTTTTTTTCCATATCTCATTCTCTGATTTTCTTTAATAAAAGTGAAATCTATTAGATTTATAAACATTTCCTATTTGTTTTTTTCTATCATGCTCGCACACACACACACATGTATATCACTTAAAATGTTATTAAAGTTTTAAAGTGATACAAACCTGTCAGATTAATAAATCCATTCTTATATATATGTGTGTGTGTGTGTGTTTACTTTAAGTTGTAAATGTTTGGTTATTGCTACTTGAATTAACAATGACTTTTTCCAGTAAAATTACAATGTACCAAGACAGAATACAGATTGACCATCATTAATCTGATCTCATTAGGAACCATCGGGTGCCAGATAAGTGCTTATTCTCCATTACCAATGGTTAAGCAATTTTTCTCTCTGTTTCTTTGTCATAAACTGTAGATGATCCAGTGCTGTATAAATCACACAAGCTTTTCTGTTAATATTTTCGCAAGTTCTACTTTCTCTGTTATGGTCAATGTCTGTGCTTCACATTATGAAAAGCACTTTTTGTATTCATTTCGGCAACAGGAGACTGGAGGTTTTGAGGAGCATGAAAACACCTCTTAATTGCTTTGTTTCCAGGTTCACCCTGACACAGGGTGGTAACACCTGTTAGGGTCCCAGCTATGGGCAATAATGTACCCACCGCCAAACAAAAATAAAACACTGTGAAAGTATAAAAATATATTTTTATAGTAAAAAATACCAGCAATACATTTTTATATTTAAAAAAAAAATTACCAACAATATAGAATTATTGTAAAATTACCAAAAGCACATTTTATAGCAAAATGACCAACAGTCCATTTTATCTGTAGTTGAAGGCATACAATTTTATACAAAATATTTAGATTTCAACATTAAATAACCCATAATGGTTAATATACCACTAAACAAAACAAACCCATCAAACAACCAACATGAAAGAACTCTTTCATTAATCCATATAATATTCTACAATTCCTTAAAGAAATCAAACTGTATTCCAAAATATAGCTACAACTTAGAACACATTACAGTCTCTAGTAATTATGTCCACACAAACATCTATATGCACAAAAGCTGAGTATCACCTACCATGTATTGATATTCTGCCTTCACACTTGAGTGTGAAGGCAGAATATCGAGCTCCCAAGAAAACTAAATTTTGTCATTAAATAACCTATAGGGAGTTGATGCTGTTAAACAAACCTACCTTGTATTCATTGGACCTATGACTAAATGTTAGCAGGTTAGAATAAAAATGCACAAAAGACATAAGAGAGTGCTGAAAAGTTCCTGGCCAAACCAAGAATCACCAACAATATATATAATGATGATTGGTTATTTTTTTAATTTTTTTTTTTTTTTTTTTGTCTGGTTTTGAAATTTTTGATCTGACTCAAGAAGGGTGGTCAGTATTGGAAATAGAGCATTTATTGATGTAGACAGTATGTATATAGTCACCATGCAGTAGTGAATTTTACCAGTTTATTGCCTCTCTGATCTTGAGACCAAAAATTGTATTAAGGCATGAAACTGACAAGAATCAACATTATTTCTCTCTTTATCTATTGCATGTGTTATATTACTTGTAGTTTGTTTTTTAATTTTTTTATGTAACTAAATTTTTTTTTTTTTTTTTTTTTTTTGTTGTCTAGCTAATTTTTTCACATCTCCATTCTTGGGTAAGAAGTATAGCTTCTATATAGTCCTAATTTGCTACTACACTCCTAAATTGTACTAATCTTCTCTTTTTGATCTAACATAAAAACAATCACCCTCTCCTTCCCTAACCTCGACTGCTGCTTCTTGTTGACAGCTTTTATATATATATATATATATATATATATATATATATATATATATATATATATATATATATATATATATATATATATATAAAAATAAAAACTTTCTTGCCTTTTTTCTTTCTGTTATGTTCATTTTACAACTATTTTACCTTCTTTACCAGAAAATGATAACTTAAGCCTGCATTGAAAGAATTTTGTTTTCTTACGTGTGCTTTTTATTGTTAGAAATTAAAATGGTTTCTAAATGCTAAGACTCAGACAAATTTGATTGTTCTTTCGAAAATAGATTTTTAGGTGCTTTTTCTCATGTTCTGAGATAAAGTGCTTTCATTGTACCATCTATTTTTATTTTTTTTTTTTAAACAGTTGTCTTTATCTTTGTTGTTTTTATCATCACTGGAAACTTATCACATAGGGTCTTACTCTAAGTACAAAACTTTAGCACTCAGACCTTTGATTCTGTTAAACTGCAATGAAAGAGATAAGAGAAAGAAAAGTAAATTTTAAAAATTCAGTATATACCTTAAGAAAGTCAAATAATTTATTGAAGTTTGTTAAAAACCACAAAAAGTAAAGACATAGTTGGAAAAATATGTGAAATAAATTTTTAAGCTATTGTAACCTGTTGCTGACAAGATATTTATTTAATTGTTTTGCAAACCTAAACTAATGTTAGATTTTTAATTTACTAATGAATTAATTAAAAATCTCTGGCATAAAAGCTAAGTATAGATTTACTGTTAATGGGTAATAATCAAAATTAGCTTTCCTATCCAGAGATACTTAACTTTTCATACCTGGTTTTGAACATTGTGTTCTTGTTTCTTTGTGTGTTTATATATATATATGTTTATATATATATATATATATATATATACACTCGGTTTTCTTTTTTTTCTTTTTTTTATTGTAATATGAAGGTGGTATGTTAAGCAAGTCCTTTCAAGAAATGCAGTTTATTTTTAACCTTTCATTTAATTAATGGTTAAGTTTTACACCTTTTGACAAGATCTCTACAGAGTCAATATTTTAAAGTCATTACATACAATGAATATTTTTCAAATTGTCATTTTGATATATATTTGTGATATTAAAATTATATGATACATATTTTTCATGGTCAAAATAGACATTTATTTCAACCTTTGAAATTTAATTATTTTAAATCAAATTATTCTATTTTAATTTATCATACTTGGAGGAAATTATAAAATTTTGATATCCATTACACCAGTGTAATTCAAATATATATTTTGAATTCAACATTTTCTTCCAATTTTTGGTTGCTTCATGATATTTAATGAACTTAGTTTTGGTGTAACCTGAGGCCATAAGTATTGATATTAGTTTGTGATTCAAAGTGAAGCTAATCTTTTTCTGCCTGTTCTTTCTTTGAATATACATATTGGAAATTTAAAGAAAATATCTGTTTATTATTATTTTTCTTGAGCATAAAATTTCTAAGAAAAAAAAAACCACTGAAGCTAAACAACATTGAACCTGGTCAGTGCCCGTTTGGATGACCGTTTGGGAACCTTAGATGTGTGGGTGGTGTAATGGATGATGGCTTAGCATTGTTAATCGGAGAGCCAAGTTCACTTGTGCGTGAATGCCCTTGGGAGAGGTATGAATTCACCTCTACTCCTTCCCTGCTAGCTGTGGATTAATTAGTAAGGCTTGTATCATTAAACCATTGTCATCAAAAAGAAAAAAAAATTCTTAAAATCTAAAAGTATTTTCTGGCTTTAAATAACCTGCAATGAGTTGATAAGCTGTAAAAATTGAACCGATCAAAAGTCGGGGGAAAGATTTGGATATCTTTAAGGTGTTTGATAGGTTTTGGCATGCTGATCTTCATAAGTTGAAAGGTTATGGTATTTCTGGGTGAATTTTTGATCCCATTCAATCTTATCAAATTGCAAAATGAAAGTGGTCTCAAATGGCCACTCTTCTAGATCTTTTTGCATTAATGTGTGTCCCTCAGGGCTCTTTGTACCTATGTTCCTAATTTTCAACAATGACTTTTCTGTTCTCAACTCTTTATCTATGTTGATGACACAACTATTTATTCCTGTTTTAATAAATTTTATGAGTTCACTAATGTCAAATTGGCAGCTAATTTTAAAAAAATGACATTCAATTTGTTGTTAAATGGAACAAGAAATGGCCTGTTAATTTTAGCATCTCCCAAATTAAACTGCTTTCTTTTAATCATCTTAAAGAACTTTTTTTTGCCTTCACTCAGCATGGTTGATGCTCACCTCCAGGAGAGTGACTTATTGCACATTCTTGGGATAATGTTTTCTGCTGACATGAAATGGAAAGATTATATTGAATCATTTGCTAGACAATGTTAGACAATTTTTTTCACCAGAATCTTCTTTATACATTTATAAGTTTACTATTTGCCCATGCATTGAAAATTGCTACCACATCTGGTATTCCTGCTATGTACTTAAAGTTTCTTGTTAAAATACAAAGAATTGGCAATATTATCAGTCCTGACCTGGCATCTTGTCTTCATTTACTTTTTCATTGCTTTAATGTAGCTTCCCTGTACCTTTTCTATAAATATTTTCATGGTAATTTTCTGGTGAGCATTCTTCTAAACTTTGAGTTTAAATGCAGTACTTTCTCTTGTACTTCTCACTTGTGGAACTTTCTTCTGGCGTCTTGCTTTCCAGACAATTTTGATCTTCAAAAATTTAAATGTAATGTCAGTCATTATCTTTTGCTATAATTCCTGTTCTTTTATTGTTCTCTTTCCTCAATATTTTTTTTTTCTCATATTCTCTTGCATTTTTATTGCCTTGCTTGGGGTGAAATGAAAAAAAAATGAATATATCAAACAAGGTTCATCTGTTACTCTGAGTGTGACTAATTAGTCACATATACTGTTGTCTGTGACATTGGTATTTTCATACCACTTAAATTTCTCTTATGTATGATTTCATACTACTAGAAGGATGCTGAGTAGTTCTTGATCCAACCCATTGCCCTAAAAAAATCTGATATTTGGTCATTGAAATAAATACTTTTTTTTTTTTTTTTTTTTTTTTTAAATTACCCAGGCAAATAACAACTCAAACATATTGTTTGCTGTGTGTTATAATTTGTGTAGAATTTCTGCTTATGAGGAACTGTCATTATCATACACTGATTTACTCGGACTTGCCTCCTCAACTTAGCTAATAAGTCATAACTTTTCAGCTGTTGTACTCTTCAAGAAATTAACAGATACTAGATACTGTCTGGTATGGACATGGAAATAAGAATAATCTACTCCTGTGGATTAAATAAAGTGGTTATTTCAAATCTCCTGGAAGGTTACAATCTTTGACAGATTCCCGAAGAAGGTTAAAAGGTGAAACCGTCAAAATGTGTTTGCCATAGCAATGAAGATGAGGATATTAGTTAGATTAAATCAGTGTGTAACATTTGTACAGAATTGTTACTTTTGTTATTGGTTTGGTGGAGGGGGTGCATTTGTTTTACAAAAATGTTAAACAAGGCCATTGGCTTGTTTTGTCAATGAAATACAATTTACATTAGCTATAAATTATTTGACAAATATTGATCTGATGAAATTAGTAAGGGCTTTTTATGCCAGGAAACAATTTGAACAACTGTAAAAAAAAAAAATAAAAATAAAAATTGAGTAGTTATATTGATTCAACTTACAGATGTGAGATATGAGTGAAAGATCAAATATGAATCAGAATTTGACAGGATGATAAAATAAAGAACAAATAAATGTTTATCAATCTAACATGTTTCACTTTTATTAAAGCTTCATCAGAGATTGAGACAAAGAGACAGAACTTTGTTATTTTCAATTTTTTTTCTTGTTTGGGTCGATTCTCATTAGTCAGTCATGTACCATGTGCATTATAACTGTAAATAATTCTATATGTATGTAAGTTTGTAAAATTTCTAGTATGTCTACACAGGTATGAAATGGTAATGTGTGTGTGTCTAGTGGGGGTGGCACTCTTAATCTTTTAATTTTATATACATACTTTTTGTGTTAGATATAAGTTACATTGTTTTCTTTCAATCTCTGATGAAGCTTTAATAAAAGTGAAACATGTTAGATTGATGAACACTTTCTATTTGTTCTTTGTCTTATATATACTGGGTATAACAGCAAAATTATGCAATTGTTAGATTAAGGTTTGAACCATTGATTAAACATATCTTACTGGAATTCTCTGAGGTTTTTATAACACAATTGGACTCCACTTTCAACAATAACAATGTATTTAATGATGATCCCTTTTCTTGTTGTAACCTCCTGATCCAGTTTTCTTCTCTACTGTTTGTTCCCTCTTTTTTAAAACTTATTCCTTTTTCTCTTGATTGTTCTTGAATGGACTTTGAAGATGGAAATCAAAGTATGAATGTTGGTAGCATTTACTGAAGGCCTGAATGATCTTTTTCGTCTGATCAGTTGGGAAAACATAGTAGGGTTGACACAAAATGATTTTAACCTGTTATCTTTCTAGTTGAATAACTCAAAAGGTTTTTCAGTGATTCTTTCAACAAATTGTGTCAAGATGGCTAAATGTCTTACCTGGAAAAAAAAAAGTAACTCAATTAATTTAGGGTTTGTTTTTTTTTTTTTGTTCTTTTTTTTTTTTTAGATATTAGGCATTTTGTAGGATGGGCACTTATCCCATGGTGTTACACCTGGTATATTTGCAGGATTTTAAATTCAGTTCAACATTTGAAAATTATCTTCCTAGTCATAAAATTAATAAAAAGCATTTTAAGTGAATATTTTTTATCTAAAGGTTATTTAACAATATTTTGGTGGGGTTACTAAGTAACCTTTACTAATTAGATAAATTTTGCTCCTTTTCTTTATCTATATTTAAATGACAAGAAGTCTTTATCATTTATTCTGTTGTCAACTCTAGAATGAAAATCTTTCACTAGAAACAATCTGTTATTTGTATTTAAAGAATTATTTTGAGGAAAAGAATTTGGTTTTTGATTTGTTTTTATTGCTTTTGTAAACCTTGATTTCACTTTGAGAATTTTTCTCTTTTGATTTTTGCATTAATTTTCTTAATTTTGATTGTATTAATTGCATGCCGCAAAGAAAACCAAACAATGAAGCGAGTGTGTGTATTTCGTACTGATGGTTTCAGTTTTTAAAAATTAATTTTCATTTCTTTGTTTAAATTATTAAAATAGAGAAAACAACATTTCAAGTTAACTAAAGTTTAGTTTAATAACTTTAAAAGAATTCCATTCATTTATTTATCTATGATATCAATATTTTGTCTATATAGATATGTCTCTAGCTTAATGATGAAAAGAGCATTTATTTTACCCAAGAAATATTTATCTTTCAACATAATCACATTCTTTGTCAATGCACCTAATTCCATGCTAAATGTTACTGAAAAATTCAGATAAAAATTCAGCTAATAACTATGTTAGGCTGCAGACTTGTTGATCTGCCCTCAGCTCTGATACTTTTTGGGTGCCTTGCCAAGGGTTAGTGAGTCTCTCTGCTTGTATAAATGTTGTGAGTATATTCCTCACTTGGTGCTCTACTCTTGTGGTCTTGTGCCAGATTTGACTAAGCCCAGTAAAAATGTAGCTTGTTGTGGGATAAGCTTACTAAATATCAATAAGCTACTTTTCACCATACCAATTTTTTTTTTTTTTTTATTTCTGGAAAAATTGTATTTCTGCATCTACAGAAAGTACTTGTAAAATATTAATTAACTTAGGAGCCCTCCTCCTCATCAAATAGTTATCAAGAAAGGCATTCAGCTGTAAAATATATTCTTCAAAAATTCTTGCTGAGAAATGGCCAGAATAAATCCTTGAATAAACAGGACATGGCCTAGTGGATAAAAGCATTGGTTGAAGTAATCCCAAAAGTGATTTGACCCAAACAGTTGTTAGTTCAATCCCTGGCCACAGCAGAGGTGAACAAAAACTTGGAGAGTCAAGTTTCTAAAGGGAATTAACTGAAACTGAGATATCCAGAAAAAGCATGGAACTACAACAATCTACCCCCAGTGGACTAACTAAAGGGTTCGCTTTGAAATTTCACTGTATATCACCTGAAGAAGGCCAGAGCATATAATGGCTGAAATGTTGTGAATATAACAATAAAGATGAGGACAACAGTCCAAATAGTGTAAATAGGAATTTATTAATTGTACTAATATTATTTTTTTAATTTCTTTTTCATAACTACTGTTTTTTTTTTTTTTTTTTGTATTTGTGACCATTTGAGAAATGTATAAAAAGTATAATTTATATTTTTTTTTTTTTTTTTGGTATTTCAAAGATTTTTGGGAAGATGATGGATAAAATGTAAAAATAGTAAAAAGTTATGAAATTGTATTTATTTTTATATTTGATTCATCTGACTTATTTTGTACATCAGTCTTTTAATATTGCTAGATTTGTATTTATTTCAAATGGGATATTCTCAGACACAATTAGTACCGAGTCAGTTAATGAAATGCTGGCTCTCCTCTCAAATTTTATTGAATGAATCTGTTCATTTTTATACCTTGAAATCATTTCTGCTTTTCATTTCATTAATTGTAATAAAACCATGTTTTTATTTTATTTTATTTATTTTTTTTTTTTTTTTATTTTATTTTATTTTTTTTTTTGAGTTGAGGACAGGTTGAAATTGATACTGTCAAAAAGGTAACAGGAAAAACTGAAAGAGTTTATTTGGAATTACTTCTTAAATTAATCTTTCTAATGTTTTTTGAATTGTGTTGAGAGATGAGACATAATTAAAATTTACCAAAAATATATTAATTTCAAGTAGATTTTTATATATATTTTTTGTTACCTATTTGCTACATTCTTAATTTACTTTAATACTTAAGTTAAAATTGTTTTATTTCTTTTAATACAATCAATATTTGAGTTTTTTTAAGAATCATTGCACAGTACTTATTATTATTATTATCATTTATTTCTATCTTATTACTTTTTAGATAAAGTATTTTCACTATTGTTTTATTACCAGTTTTACATTATCTTTTTATCACATCAGTTTTGGTTGATACACTTCAGTATTAGTTTTATTTTATTACTAGCTTTTCCCCATCTTATTGTTGCTTTTTTTTTATCACAACTCTTTGGGGTGATACCTGCTCTTTGACTACATGAGAAAATGGTGCAAAATCACAAACCTAGTAGCTTCTAAGACTTGTATTTGCATCACAGACTTCAGGAATCGGTTTTTAATGGATGTTGCTGTAACCTCTTTGAAGAGCGTATCAGTTGAGAGTATTGTGATAAAAAGTAAGATGAAGTAAAACTGGAAAAAAAATAGTGAAAATCACCTGAAAGAAAAAATAAATAACTATTAAGGAAAATTAAGAATTCTGTTTCATCTAACACTAAACAGTCTGAAGAGATTGTTTTCTTGATACTTTTTGTATCAGTGTACTTTTTGTATTGTAGGAAAATCAACAAGTAAATCTGAATTAAATTCAGATGGTGATGGCAAGTCTTCAGCTGCTGCCTATCCGCAGAGAGTAAGTTCTAATAATTTTTTTTATACAAACTTCACTGATGAATGAATCCTTAGTATTATTTCACTGAAATACTTCTGTTAAATAAATTTTAAAATTTTTAGCTTCGCAAATGACTTGGCAGAGGGACATAATGAATAGTGGTTTGATTTGAATAATCAGAGAGTCAAGTTTGAATTCTAGTTGAGTTTCTTAAATTCACATAAATGCAAATATCTTTTTGGAATGCTATGAATCTATCACTTCTCCCATCCCAGCTATGGGTAAATATTAGGACAGACTGGGTCTTATAGCCTTGAGTGACAACAGTCCTAAATTGGAAAACTCCTACTCTGGGTTAAATAGCCTCACCAACCTGCAATTGGCCAAGTGTGGTGATTATGGCTACACTCTTGAAGATATGGTCAATAAAGGAGGGGTTCCTCCAACAAGAGTGAGAAGGATTTGGATTTGGCCAATGACTTGAACTCATCTTATGCATTGTCTAATTTTCGAGAATAGCCCAGGTTTCAAAAATGAAATTAAAATAAGGTGCATCAGAAATACCTCCCAGAAATACCTTCTGGATAATGGCAAGACATTAGCTAGATGAGGACACAATTGCCACTAATATTTTACCATTATGTGGGAAGTATTTTTGGGGAGGTATTTCTGATGTAGTCTGTACTTGTAGGTTAAACTCTTACTTTTTCTTTTCTGGTTAACCAAAGAAAAGATATGTCTGTCTGTTTGTCATGGGAGAAGACTGAAGTAGCAAGGGATGCTATCCTGAGTGTCACCTATCTATTTTCCATTCCAGACTGCACTAAGTGAATTCATTAATAAGTGACCCAAATATATTGGATACTGGATTCATATTTTCATTTTTTGCTGTAGTGTTATTCTATCTTTTGCTTTTTTGTGATTGTATACCAGTTTTTGAGCACACAGTTGCAAATGAAATGCAATTAGTAAAAAGCTGAAAATTTTTTAATTTTTTTGTTCAAGATATTTCAATAAATGTCGTTTAAAAAAAGGCTTCTATTTGAAAACTGATATTGTGCTTTTTATTAAATTATAAATGTTCCTTTATATTTAATATTGTTTTTTGGTTTCAGTATGAAGATAGACGCAAGATTGAACAGTTACAGACAGAACTGATGCAAGTCCAGGTAAGTTTTGTATATCGCATCCACTTTTTACATTTTTTATTTTAAAGATATTATGAACATTAACCATGTCTGAATTCATTGTCACTGTAATCAATTTTCTTCTCCAAGTGAAAGATTATTAAAGATAACTCGTTACTAATCCAGATTGTTTTAAGTGTCATGTTTGTCATTATTTGACTTTGGCATGGAATGATATAATTTGCAAATCCGAGAGGTGTTAACTATTCTTTTCTAATAAGTGGAGTTGAATAAGAATCTCCAATATCAAATTCTGATTCTTTTTTTTATCTGATCTGTAATAATTATTTGGACCTGTGGGAATTCAACAATATTTAAACATCTGACCTTTAGTTTGACTGATAAATGATATATCTCTTAGGCCAATGTCCTATTGTTTGAATATACAGTGATAATGCTTTATATGCAGAAATTAATAATAACCATATTTTTATTTTCATTTTTATAATATAGTATGATTTTGTTTTTATTTGTAAGGTTGTAACTATTTGAATTAGTCACTTATTTATTTATTTTTTTAATTATAATATTTAAGTCTATTTAAAATAATGAAAACTAAATTTAAGATTTTTTAGTTCTTTTTTTTTTTTTTATTACATTCCTGGGTATGACAAACTTTGGCAGCAATACCTGTAATTGGGAGATTGGAGGGTTTTGAGGAGTGTGGAACCACCTCTTAATTGCTATTGTTTGCAGGTCACCTTTATGCTAAAAAAGAAAAAAAAAAAAAGCAACAATACCGTTTTTAAAGCAACATCCCTAAACAAGATATCTGTAGTTGAAGGCATAAAATTGTTCAAATTATTTATGTTTTGGCATTAAACAATCCATAGAGGTTGATATACCGCTAAACAAAATCATCCCTCTAATCCATCTTTTTTATTACATGTAATTTCCAATATTTTCTATTGCGAGAAATAGAATCAGAAAAGTTATTTGTAAGCCTAAAATTTTCTACTTTCTGTTTTTAACATAAAGATTAAATATTTTAACATAAAAATGTTTTACATTTTAAATTGTTTTCTTGATGCTCAATAGAAAGAAAAGAATACGTAAGTGATTATCCTATTATAATTGTGCTTGTCCCTAACTTGTTACTTTGCACGACTGTTATGCCATGCTAATACTTCATAAATAATGGACTATTTCATTTTGATCATGTGGAAAGAGGGGAAAAGGCACTACTTGGTTTCAGTGAGAAAATGAATGAATGAAGATAGAAATGGAGACAGAATCAATAAGCTGATGAGAAACGATACTACATTTTGATCTTTGTCAAAAGGCCAAAAAAGCAATGACAATTGCAATAAAAGCATGATTTTTTATACACAGTATTGAGCAATGGAAACTAAATAAGGAAATCAACAAAAATCCAGTTACCATAAATAAAATAACCTCATCTGCTGAATTATTTTAAAATTATCATTAAAGAAAATGTTCATAAGATGGGCATTGGCTAGTTATTTTAAATGGTTTTACACAAGTTAAATTTTTAATATTTTTAATGCACATTTTTGCCGCATCTATATATTAAAATATTCATAGTAAAAGTAGACAAAATAAATAATGCTTCTTAATTCTTAACATTCTTAATTTTGTCTTAGTACCAGAATTTAAACTTGGGCTTCAAATTTCAGGAAATATGAAGAATAATTTTTTTTTTTTTTTTTTTTAAATTATCAGTTAAATGATAATGAAAAACAAGACAACTGGTAATTTATAATCTTCCATTGTGTGCAATCAAAATATTTATCTTAACCAAATCTGTATTTTCAGTTTTTTAAGGAGTCGTTTTAATTCTATATTGTCAACCTTTTTAATTGATTATTATGACTTATTTTGTCAGATCAAATATCAAAGAGAAATTGATCGTCTTGAGAAAGATGTTCGAGAATTGAGAAAGCAATTGATGCTTAAAGATCAAAAGAATGGAAGGAAGAGGACAATGAAGGTAAAAGTGTGTACTGAAAACCTTTTCTTCCGCCTTGGTAGATTTAGCTAAGTACAATTTGGGGTAAATGTATTTTACTTTTCAATTTTCTGCTGAAAATGTAATGATGTGCTTCATGTAATAATACTTGAAAAAATTCTGTTGTTCAAGTTAGACAATAATTAATTCTTTTTTTTTATTTTTATCTTAAAATTATCTTAGCGAAATCTGTGTCTCTTCTGTACTACTTAAAATGGAATCAAACAGCACTTAACCATATTTTTATTTTTCATTTATATTTTTATTTTTTTATTTTTATTTTTTTATTTCTATTTATTTATTATCTGGTCTCTCAAGTGTCATGGGAGATTACTATTATTATTTTTATTTTTATTTATTTGGTCTCTCAAGTGTCATGGGAGATTACTATTATTATTTTTATTATTCACATAGCATATCCATACCAGATATTTGTCATATACGATTCTAAGTGTGCCTAAAATCCTGAGTATAAACCTCATATTCATATTCCATGCTTCTCTCAGATCCAGGGGAAGATCCTGGTATTTTTTCACTTTTTTATCCAGTTCTTGACTCATTTGTACAGACACCTATTTTTTTTTTTTTTTTTTAATATAAATTCAGATATCTAACACAGCATTCTTAGATTTCAATTGCTGTATTATTTTAGATTAAGTTGGATGTAGTTCCATAGGTGTTGTCTTGTTGGATAAGTCAAGTTAAAGCATGAAAGAAATTTTGGGAGGAGATGAGGGTGAGTGACAATGAAAGAAAAATCTGTTTAGTAGATTATCGCTATAAGCTTGCAAATTTGATTGTAAAAGTCTTTTGAGATGTGAAAGAATATATATCTATTCTTTTTATATACTACTGAGCAGTATGATTAATTAATGAATGCCTTCTGTAAGGTGAGTTACATTGCACTTAGTGAAACACTTTGTTTTCAGCATGGGTATTTGTCTCCTACTTATTGAAGCAGAACAATAACTATATACAGTGTGATTCAATTCTATACATTTATTTATGTGTGTAGAAATGAATAATTTTAAAATATATTTGCTTAAAAAAAAAATGTACAAATTTTGTTTGTTTTGTGTATTATATATAAAAAAAAAATACCCATTGGAACCTGGACATGGCTTAAGAATACCCACGAAATAAAGTGGACTGTGTATGATTTTATCTGAATCTGATGTGTCTGGTCTTTTATGACTGGCAGTAAAATCTATGATGTATGATCTTTAAAATAACTATTGTTGTCCATAATTAGTAGAAAGAAAGGAAATAGTCAATAAATAATTGAAAACTTTTGAAATCAAGTGCCACTTGTCCAGAAATAAGGAAGTTCCTGTCGCAGGCTTATATAAGCAGTCACATATTTGTCAGTTTTCAAGCCACTTGTCAGGTGGTAGGCTTAGTAGCGATGATATCATAAGTGTCACCCTCTCTGCTCTCCACTCCAGTCTGTACTAAGTGAATCCATTAATAAGTAATCAAAATATATTGGATACTGGATTAACATTTTCATTTATTATGGTGGTGTTATTCCACCTTTTGCTCTTTTGTGAATGTATACCAGACTGCTACCAGATTTTGTGCACACAGTGCAAAACGAGAATTGAAATGCAATGTGGAGTGATTTGTCCAGTTTGTAAAAAGCTGAAAGACTACCCTAGTTGTATGTTTACAACTACTCTATCAGAGGTACACACATAGAAACATACACGCATAGACACATATATTTAACACTGGATGTTGGAGTAAACAGTCTATCATCAAATGCTACTTTAATGGCAGTAATAGAAACAGAACACTAAATAAAAGAATTAAAAGTATAAAATCACCATAAAATATAGGAAAAAATTTATTTATTTTTTTTTTTTTTTATTGTTCTCATTAAAAATATTTTAAAGATGAATAATAAAGGACCAAATCAACTATTCTGAATGAATAGTAATAAAAGAAACCGAAAGAAAAATGAAATAAACAAAACAAAATAACTCTGTGAATGATGCTGTTGCAAGTTCTAAACTCCTGGTAAGACTACCCTTGGTGGCAAATTCGAAGATGAGGACCCAGACTAAGCATGACCAACCACAAAGACCCCAATGGTGGAATAAACATGATTACAACAGATCTCAATGCTTGAACCACTGGATGAAGACAACTATGCTTGCCAGACATGCTACAGAAGGCACCATTCAAAATTATAAGAATCAGTGGCAGACCATTGCAGTTTCATAACTGGATTCTACAGGTAATATTCCATCTGCGCTGCAGAGGAAGGTAATAAATCAAGTGTGTGGGTCACTTTCTGCCAAGTTGAGGTCCACCTTAAACAAATTCATACCATAGGCACTTTTTTCTACTCTGATTTTCTTTCACCCTCAACCAACTCAAAAGCCAAGAGAATTTGATTATTATTATAATTTTTTTTTTTTTACTGACCTCTTAAATCTTGTTTACTACAAACGTGGAAACAAACTAGTCAGTATGGTATGGTATCAGCAGATAGTATAATTTTGTGCAGGACCAGGTTTGTCCGCAACTTGCATAGGATAGGTTCAAATGCAAGTATGTAGAGAATAAGCAAAAGTAGAAAATCTTCATGACTAGATGTGAACAACATGAAAGGCTTCAATTTTAATCTATTGATTTTCACTATAGGCAAATAAATTCACGAGCAAAAATCTGACTTGAAGACAGCCTCCAAGAAACTATGGTCAAACATGCAAAACTGTTTGAAATGACCTAAATTGATCAGTATAGCAGGAACATAGATTTTCTTAGGGAATCATGTCTGCCAAATGCAAATTTCTTTGAAAATCCTTCCCTTCACAGTGTTAGTCGCACCAAGCCCGGTTCAAAACAGGTCAGACTTTGTAGATTTTATCACTGCTCGTCTGTGTGGCTTACTTTTTATTCAGGTTTTTGACCATGCATGCAAATTAGCAATATTTTTAAAAGTGCTAGAACCACGCATGTTTTACGTAAATTGCAAATGGTGGCTCTGATTGGGTAGACAAGACATTGTGGCCACTTAGCCATAAGTAAGTTAGGATTCCTTGGTCCACAAGTGTAAGTCTGTTTGGGTGTGGGGGACTATTAGACAGTTTACAGTTTGCTGTATTTAGCATAGCTGAAGACTGAAAATTACTAATCCCATCCCTATCCTGGTCTTGTGTAGCAATTTCTCTGTTGCTTAAATGACCCATATGACCTATCTACTTCTATGCCTGTGTTAAGGTTAACAAATTCAATTATTTCAACTACTTAGTCACTATAGGATTTGTGGTATAGTAAAGTGAATACATGATTTTTTTTTTTTAACACATACTCAAAATAAAATATCCAAAAAATGGAATGATGATTACTATTTTTTGGGGTTCACTTGTACGACTGAAAAATATGGTGCAGAAAGGACTTAATGCATTTTTATGCTCAGTGGTATTTTCAAATACAACTTTGAAGTGTTCTAAATTTAGCAAACACTTTAAAAGAGTACATGGTGGTACAGTCTGGGAACCAAAAGAAATGCTCAAGTTGAAGAAGGTGCATTTTGATCGTTAAGGAACTACACCAAATGGGATTTGGATCAATTGTAAATTACTTGAAGAATCCTTTCAAGTTACCCGTCAAGTGGCTTAAAAAATATAAAACATATACAGTCACTGAAGAATTAGTGAAGCCTTCTGCTCCGAAAGTTGTGAAGATCATTCTGGAGAAAGTCACAAGAAGGATGGTGGCACAAGTTCCAATGTCTAACAATTTTGTCAAGAATAGAATTGTTGATATGAGCCACAATGCTTTGGAGCAAGTGATCAATGATATAATGGAGAATACTATGAAAATATCATTGCAACTGGACAAATACACGGATGTTTCTCATTGTAGCCAACTAACTACTGTTGTCCAATATGTCAAATCTGAAAAGTATTAGATCAGATTTTGTGAACCACAGAAGACTACCATGAATGCACAGGATGTACTTGGCCTCGTAAAAGAGAATTTCTTGAAACTTGGATGGAATATGAATATCATTGGCTCCATCTGTAAAGATTGTGCTCCTTCTATGATGGAAAATCTGTCTGGATTTGCAATGCTCCAAAAAAGAAGTTCCTGAGATCCATGTCACACATTCCTTGCTGCATTGGCAGTGAAAACTTTACCAAGATAGTTGCAAGATGTTTGTCTGCTTGTCTGCAGATTGTTAATTCAATTGGAGGACATGCTCTGAACCATCGATTATTTCAAGCATTTTGTGAAAGTATTGATTCAAACACATGATTCTTCTGTACCATACAGCAGCAAGATGGTTGTGGTTGTCTTGCAACATGTAGTTCCTCTTCATATTGAGTTAAAGACTTTTTTTAGAAGAGTAGAATCTTGATCCTTCTTCCAAATTTCTACAAATGTTAGCTTACGTGTTCATTTTAAAAAAATTTTTTTTAAATTAAATGAACTGAAAGGAAGTAATACAGACATTGTTATGGTGCATGAAAATTCGGCTACTTTCAAAGCAAATATTCCACTGTGTTTGAATAATATTGAGAAAATTAATTTGGTTAGGTTTCCGTCTTTGGAGGAAGTCTCTGCTCTCAAACCTGGCTATTTCAATACAGGCATATCTTTGGCAGTTTTTGAATGCTTTTTAGGGGCATTTCTCTGCAGGAAATTTGGAATTTTGTAAAGTAAGTAGCCAAAGTTTGCAATAAGTAATAACAGACAAAAGAAAAGTACTGGGTAAAAAAATAATATAAAGAAAGCAAACAATATATGCAAAGCAAATTAATAATAAGGCAAAGCAATAGTAATATGGCAAAAAGTTCACAAGGATTGGGTTTGAGATAAAAGCAATTTCGAACAAGTGAACGTAGATTTCAAAACAAGACAGACCAGGACTGAGACAGATGAAACTGAGAACCAGCCTATTTTATTGGCTAGGAAAAAAATCCCAGCATACATTTGTGTGCTTCTGACTATAAATTGGGGAGCGGCAAGTGTTTTGCAGTCATTCCAGATAGATTGGAATGATGACTTTTTGAAAGTGGAGATTAATTAATGATTAAAATGATATTTTTTTTCTTTAATATTTTCTGAAAAATTGTGTTTATTACATACAAGTTCATTAAATAGTAGATGATATTTTGACCTGAAAATTCAAGTTTTTTGTTGTCTTATCCACTAGGGGACATGGTGATGAAATATGACCTCAGGAGGATGCCAGATAACAAAACGATTTATATATTAGTGAAAGGGCTTATAAGCAAAATCTAGATCTCAGCCTATTGGCAACTAAAATGTATAGAAATAATGTTTTTCAAATCTAATCTGATATCCTTTTTTTTTTTTTTTTTTTTCCATTCCTCTGTGCTTTTGCTGTTGAAATACATGTTTTGTTTTTTATGCAATGCACGTCATTGTTTAAATATTGTTGAAACATTAACTAAAATTTCACCTATTCTTCTGATTTATTTTCAGAAATCTTTAATTGATATGTATTCTGATGTCTTGGATGAACTTGCTGATTATGATTCCAGTTACAAGACACAAGACAATCTGCCAAGGGTAAGCAAATTTTCAAAAATCTTTTGTACAATCTTAACTAGAAATTTTTCCTTTTTTTTTTTTCTCCCCAAGTGTACTCAGAATTTATTGAAAAAGAAGTTAACCTTGTTTAGAAATTTCTAAGGGACTGTTGTGTCCATAAAGAAATACATAAATAAAAAAATTAATTAACTGTCACTGTCATGTCCATAAGTGAATAAATAAAAATTAATTATAGTTTGAAAAATAATTATAATTATCATTAATTTATTCATTCTAAACCAATGAGAGCAGACCCCACTTTTCTTCTCTGCACACACAAATGTGACATTCTTGCTATTGGACAAGCAGTTCACATGGACAGGTTGTTAACATGGACATCAATGAAAATTTAATCTCCTTTTCCTTTTTCAGGCCATAATAATAATAACATTTATCTTTTAGCATTCAACAAAAATTCAAGGTAGCAAAAGCCCAGACAATTGTATTTTCTAGCTAAATTATCTGGACATGCATTACACATATTTATAAAAAACATGAGAAAGACTATACATCTTACTTATCCTTCTGTTGGATTCTGATCCCTCTTTGATCTGCATTTGATCCCAAACTCACAATTTTATTCAGGGTTACTCTCATTTCTCCAACACCACATAACAACCAGATAATAAATAATACTTGATGTTTCCATATCTTGCTGTTACTCGTTTTTATGAGTATTTTTGTATCTATAGATGTTGGGTGGTTTATAATTATTTACTCATAATTATAACTTCCCTAAAGGGCAAAAAAAAACCAAAAAAACATTTCCTCTGTGTATAATTTTTGCTGGTTAGTTTGATGCCATTATACTCACTTTTTACTCATTAAAACCTTTAGTAATTAGTGCTTTATTATTGTAGTTGTCTGCAGACTAATGAAAGACAACAAAAAGATGTGATAGATATCAATACAATACATTACTTGCCTGTGTAAATCTACCAAATCTTATTTTTGGATTGAGGTCCAAATGATAATTTTCAAATATAAATGTGAACAGTTTGGGCTTTACAATTCTTCAATGCAAATAAATTTTATTAAAAGTGTGTGTGTGTGTGTTTAACAGATTTGGGTAACTAAGCTCCACCCAATTTTTTATCTGCATTTTATACTTCAGAAATAAAAATAGAAAAGTAAATTGCATATCTGTTTTATGCAAATTGGATTAGTATTTTAAATAAAGACTCTTTTTTTTTTTTTTTTTTTTTTTTTTTTTTTTTAAGGAAATTAATTTTTTTTGGTTAAAACAAAAAAAAAAATCAAGTATATTTTTTGCTATAAGTTTTCATTTTGGAGTTGACTTGAAATCACTCTGGTGGACATGGTATAGATAGTGGGTACCACTAGTTTTAACCATGGTCATTATAATGTCAAAGGGGTTTTTTTTTTTTCTAAATGGAAATGTACATTATATTATGGAAAACACAGTATTGTATTTTTTTCCTGTTTCTATATTTTTAATGAAGTTTTTTGTTTTCTCATCAGGTGGTGGTTGTTGGTGATCAAAGTTCTGGAAAAACGAGTGTTTTGGAAATGGTAGCTCAAGCAAGAATATTTCCTAGGTTTGTTGAATCAGATTTTATTTTTACGTCTAGGTAATTTGGATTTTACAAGATCAGAAATACCTAGAAATTATCTGAGTTATACAAATAAAATCCTTTATTTTGAACTGAAGTTTGACAAATGAGAAAAGTTAAAGTTTGGAGAAAAAAATCCAGAATTGATGAAAAATGAAACTTCTGTTTACTGACAGACCTGAAGTTGGCTGAATGGTGGGAATCAGAATATAATACTTGATGACGGCTTTGTCTGTTCTGCTAAAAAGAAGCCCTTTATTTGAGAGATTAAGAGTTTATTGAAACCCATGACCTGAAGGAAAAATGTTTAGTTTTGCAAGCATATTTGAACTTAAAGTGAAAATGACATGAGGGTATTATGATTTTCTTATGGGTGTGTTATTTAATGTAATGCTGATAGAAAATTGTTCATCAAAGACTTTAATTGGTTGAACTCTTTGAAGTGTTGTCCTGCTCTAATGGTGGTAGTAAGAGGGACTTGCTACCAATGAAATAGCAGAGTAATAAGGATAGAACTGGACAGGAGATTGACCAAACTAAATTTAGGAAGTGACCCTATAGATCATTACTCAGTTATTTCAAATTTGATGGATTGTCAGTAAAAGCTATTGACTTTGACTCTTACACACTTGTTTCTAGGCAAACTTATTAAAAGGGGTCAAGAAGATTAGATTTTTCAACTTTAGAAATTCCACTCATAGAGTAGTAAAGAAAAGGAAGACAGTAGATAGGTAAAATGAAACCCAATCACTTTTTTCCAAAGTGATTGACATTACATTTAAATTTTTGAAGATCAAAGTTGACTGGAAAGCATGGAGATGGAAGAGAGTTCTACATGCAAGAAAAGAAACTGTTAGTATAGAATTTATGGTTACATCTAGGCAACTTGACTGTAACTTGATGAAACCTCATCACCAATCTAGTACTGCACTTAAATTCATAAAATGTAGGTATCATAGCGAAGGGCTCATCTGAACAGTTAAAAGTATTTATAGAAAAGGCACAGGGAGGCAACTTTACAGAAGTGGAAAAGTGACTGAATCAGTGGCACCAGATCAGGATCAATTATATTGCAGATTCTTTTTTGGATTTTATCAAGGATCTCTAAATATGAATATACAGCGGGAGCAGCGGACCATATATGGCAACAATATTCTAAGGATGATGAATGGTAGACATAGATATGTATGGTAGATTCTGGAATGAAAACTTGTCTAGCATGACACAGTGAACCAACTTTCTTAGCAGTTGACCTAGCAATGGATTCAATATATTTTTCACTTCCTGTCAGCTGGGAATGTTAGCCTGAGAAGGCACAATGAGTTGCTCTCCTGATGGTTAGCAGAAAGAGGTACTTCAGATGATTAAATGAGAACTGTTTTGTTTTTGAGGCATAACAAATTAACAAGCCATTCTTTGCCTCAGTTAACAACAGACTGAAGGTAGTTTTTGACATCGGCCGCCAATTTGACCACATCAAACTGATCAGATTTAGTATCGAGACAGGAGTAAGGAGTTGTCATCATCATAGATACCAAATTCAGAGCTAATACCATTGGGAAGGTCATTAATGAAAATTAAAAAACAAAGTGGGACCAAGTGTAGAGCCCTGGGGGGTACCTGCATTAGTACAAAAGGATCTAGAAGAGTGGCCATTCAGGATAACCTTCATTTCATGATTTGAACTTATCTTTTCTTTCCAACTATACGTAAAACAGTAGGGTGGCCTGGAATCTCTAGCCTTGGTATATTAGTCTAGGATGTGATCAGAAATGACTGAATCCTTAAAAGCAATTATTGCAAAACAGTTTACACATAATAAAGTGTGTAAGCTGTGAAGGTTATTGAAAAAAGGGAGAGAAGCCTTAGATTCGTTTAAGTTATTTCCCTTGTTTTCACACACACACACACACACACAGTCTTTTCTCACCACTCACTATAAATCTGTTATTCAAACAAATTAATGACTAGTTATAATACCCTTCATGGTTGGACAGTCACTGCTGCTGTTGCTCATCTTTGTTTTGTTCCCTGTTCCTGTGCTAACAAACCATAGTATTCTTGTTGGTGTTATTTATTATCTTCACTGCCATTGCTTGTTGACTTCAGCAAGCTGAGAGGTAATCAGATTCTATGGGGGATTTCACCCAGTGGTTGTGATTTGGGGTGTGAAATCCTCGCAGCTGGAGTAACTTCTTTCTTGAAAACTAATTTCAAGCTACAAACCAACAAGCTCTGTTGCTATCTACTAATGGGTTTAATGATAACAAATTGAAGAATTTCAAAGTATGCAAGGAGTAAAGAATTATTAATCTTTCTACTTAGCTTGAATGAGAGTCTTTCAGCTGTAAAATTATTCTAGCAGTAATTTAAAATAATTGGAGAGACTTCAGAGCAACAACTGGAGGAGTATTAAAACTGGACACCTTACTTTGACACCTAGTCTCTCTTCTATGTCTGTCATCTGTCTGTGTATTAGCTGGTTTATATAAGAATTTCATAAAAAGTAAACTTCGATAGAAGTATATTTCTGTTGCATCTCTTCATTTGCTACCATAGACGGGGATTGATATTACATTACTGTTCAACATCCTTTTCTACTTGATGAATTTGTGTTAATAAGTGACAGAACAAAGACTACAAAGACAAAAGTCACTTAAAAAGACGAAGTTGTGTTTGAAATAAGAGATACAATATCTCTGATCTTAATTAAGGTATTAAGAAGTTACCACTTGGTCCAATGTAGATGATGTCCAACTGATCAGCATCAAACTGAAGCTTATTTTAAAATTTAATCCTTCACAACATATTTTTTGCTGCTTTTGTGTTTAAAGCTTCTAATTTAAAATTTTTTTTTTTTTTACTTCAGAGGTTCTGGGGAAATGATGACTCGTTCACCGGTGAAAGTTACCCTCAGTGAGGGGCCTTACCATATTGCCCAATTCAAAGACAGTACTCGAGAATTTAACCTGACTAAAGAATCTGATGTAAGATCTTAAATTTTGATATTTTATTGACTCTCTTCTAACATTTTGTTGGTTTAAAGCTTTGTCTGATCTACATTGAATATAACATTTAAACTTCAATAAATATGAACAGTTCTTGGCTTGACCCAAGTATTTAATTCCTTCAAAATTGTGATGTTTGATCAGATCTTGGGATGTGTGTTTGGCCAAGAACATTTCAGCAACCTTGTGTGTATGTGTATGAATGATATTCCTGTATACTTTACTATGGCTGTAATTCAGATTTTACAAATACATAGATATAGAGGTAAGATATCTTTTTGGGCAAATCTTTGAAGTGGGGAAAATTGTTGTTTTGAAAGACTGTTTCATTCCTGACTCCAGTCACAAACCTGCAACCATTTCTGTCACACACAAATGTGATGAATATGAAAGGGTGCCAAAATATTTTCTGGCCTTTCAAGAATAATTCTGATATTTGGGATCAAGTTTTGGGAAGTGAATCAAACCAATAACTTTTCACCACTCCTTTGTAAATGTAAAATAAAAAATAGTTGTAATCTCTTTGTCCTAACCATGCATAATTGCTCTTTTTTTTTTTCTTTCTGTGACGTGCATTTGAGTGACATGTTTGTTTTAATCATTAATACAATAAATTAAAAATAAAATCATTCATTCTGATTTCTTAATTATAAGTAAGCTTATTTCTAATCAGGTATTGAGTGAACTTGTATAATATAATGAGAAAATCTTTAGTACAATTTATTTAGTACATTACAGTATTTAGTACAATTCAGAAATCTCACATTTATGCAAAATTGGTTTTCTTTTATCAGCTGGTCGCACTGCGTAGTGAAGTTGAAGTCCGAATGAAAGCCAGTGTTGGGCAGGGACAGACCGTCAGTACTGAAGTAAGTTACTAGACAAATATCATTGTATTTGTTTTGTTAAATACAACAAGCTCATTTTGTATTTATTTTCTATACAAATATAAACTTTATCTCATATCATTTTGTCAAGTTAAGATATTTTTTTTCTGAAAGTTATAGCATTATATTTATTACAAGCTGGTAAAACCCCCATTTCCTTATACTTTCAGTGCATATGTTTGTCTGTGAAAGGGCCAGGTCTTCAGAGAATGGTTCTGGTAGATTTACCTGGTGTCATTTCAGTAAGTATGTTAAAACTTTATCTTTATGTATTTGATATATTTTCACACAGATGTTTTTAAAAATATTTTTTGTTTGTTCATTCATTTTGTAAAAGGGGCAGACCGGTTCACAAAATATTCTTAATTCATTAGTTGAGGTCCACCACTTGTGATTGATTATAAAAAAAAAAATAGTTTTTACATATTCCATATTTTTAATAACGCCTCATGTTCATTGTGTTCAACCTTTCTATTAAAGAAAATGATCCAAGATTTACATATAAAAGATTAGACATTACATAGTAGTCCAGTACACTTTTCTTTCTTTTCTAAGGATATTTTTTAATAGCTTAATAACTTGCTTAGTTTCCACTTGTACATCCTGGGTGATGTCTAGCAGCTCTGAATGAGATATTAGAGAGCAGTTTGAATTGCAATCAAGTTTCTTACATTCACTTGTGTGCAAATATCATCGGGGGAAATGTATGAATCCATCTCTTCTCCCCCTCCAGCTATAGGGCAGACTGGACTCTCTAGCTGTGGTTGAGAATAAAAAATCTGAATTAAAAACCCTAACAACCAAATCACTAGTTGCTCTTTTGCAAGACATAGCACCCAGAAGTGAGGGTTATGGTGAACACCTTGGCATCACAATGTTGGATGTAGTCAATGGTTGAATCTCAAAGACTAGATTTGGCATTGAACTGCAATGGTATCAAGTAAAAAAAATCCTTTATACTGGACAATGAATGAGACTTAATCATTTTGAGTTTGGTTAATATTTAACCCAGATGCCATAGACAACCAGTACTTGTTTCTAACCTAACTTTGTAATATTACTAATAATAGATGTAAATAAAAGTTAGTGGGGAAGTGTCTTATATGCCATTAAATGTAATAGATTTTGTTTTTTATGTTTTTTTTTTCTTTCTCTCTTTTAGACAGAAACGTTTGATGTTGCCTCAGGAACCAGAGATTCTATCAAAAAACTGATTTCAAGTTATATGGAAAATCCAAATTCAATTATTCTCTGCATTCAAGGTAAATCGCTTTCTTCCTTTTGGAAAATCAACAAAGTTAGCCAAACATTCTGCACAGGCTTACAAATTTGTTTATTAAACTCATGAAGAATATCATTATTCTTTACATTTTTGCTTGAAGACTTCAGATAAATTTTTTACTTGATTATTTATTTCCATCTATCAGCCTGAATTATTTATTGTACAAAGGATATATATATATATATATATATATATATATATATATATATATATAATTTGTTTAAACCTTGTTTTTAATGAACTCTTATATTTGAGTAGACACTCTGTTTTTATTTATTAAGATATGTGTATTTCAAGGATCGGGAAAAATCTGTGTTCAAAAGCAAGAGGTTCTTTGTAGCTGAAAGGTCAAGGCACATCAGATCTAATGACTGTTTCTCCTAGGGGATGCAGCCAGCTTCAAATCCTGCTGAAGGGCGCATATTTTTCTAACAAGATTTCTCAAATATTCAGGCTGGTAGATGGAAATAAATATACTGTTTAATAAATAAATAAAAACAGGGCATCTACTCAAATATGAGTATCCATTAAAAACAATGTTTTAAACAAAAAAAAAAATTATGTTGTACCAATAAATGATATATATTAATTTTGTTTGTATTGATGTCAAACATTTCCTTGGCTTTTCAGTAAAATAAAATATCAGTCACACTAGATTTATAAATACAGAACTGCAATTCAATATTTACATTTGGTTTATGTATTAACATGTTTCAGCCATTATACCCACCAGCTTTCTTCAGGTGTCTGTCATTCCAGGTACCTTTTTATAGGAAATTTAAAACTGAACACTATTTAATCTACAGGGTGTAGATTGTTCTCATTTCGCTGTCCATATCTAGGGATATCTCATCTTGTTATTTCATGCTGTTCAATTATTACTTGCTTTGTTACCTTTGAGCCTGTACTCCCTGGGATTGAACTTGCAATTGCTATGTTACCAAATTCACAAACTGAAACTTTAATCGGACAATAGCTTATTAAATTAAAGCATTGGTTTGTGAATGGAAAAAAGAACAAAAAACAAACTTGTATGTTGTTGACCAGGATGACAGGGCTTCTGGGTACATGTATTCTTCAACTGGGTGCCAAACTGGAAAGGTTGTTTTGAACCCAAGAACAACCAACATAGAAATGGCCTTTGGAATAAGAAGAATTGGAAGATTTAGGCTAGATTTTGAAATTAAAAACTTGGAAAAATCAAATTTAAACATGAGCATTTTAAAAATTTAAAGAAATATTTCTGGTATTTCATATTTTATAAACAAAACAAAAAAAAACAGTCAAGGTTTTGAACCTTTTTTTTATTTTCTTGAGCTAGCTCAAACATTCATGAGTTTATCATGCCAACCATCACGGTCCTGCATCAAAGTCATTAAGGTTTAAGGTGGCATCCTGTATCATAACATAGCTGGTCAGTGTAGAGGGTTGCAGGGTGACCAGCCTGTTTTGCAGTAGATCACTCATGAGTTCTTGTTTTGCTTGCAACAGTAAGTCCTTTTATTTGGCTGAAAGAAAAAAAACAAAACAAAAAAAACAATTTTAATCCAAAATTGACTTGATGGTCTCTAATAACCTTAACACTATCTATCCTGTTATCTTTTTCTATCCTAGTTACCTCCAAGAATATAATTCTTTAGCTGCAATACAAATCAAAGACCACAATCTAATTTTACTTTTAATGACTTCTGGTGACCTCTGAGGTCAAAGTTGACCTCATCTGCTTTACCATTTGTCAAGTTACAAAACATTTTTCTATTTTATAGCAAACTCAATATTTCTTTCCATTCTGCTTGAAATTGCTTCATTTGGCCTGCTGTACCCTTTGATGTCCTGTTACTTGGTCTTTTTGTTATCCCAAAATACTAATATCTGAACACATATGCACACTCTAACATAGTAATATAGAATTGTAGTAAATATACCTTACTATAAATGATATGCATGTATCTTTTACTTCTGTAGACCTCCACTGACTTTGTTGCTGACTTTAATTTATATACTTTTATTTATTTATTTATTTTTTTTTAAAATTTTGTTCTTGCTTTTTCCTCAGATGGCTCTTTGGATGCTGAGCGAAGCAATGTCACTGATCTTGTCAGCCAAATGGACCCTAATGGCAAACGTACCATCTTTGTTCTTACCAAAGTAGATATTGCTGAGAGTAGTTTGTATAACCCACTACGAGTAAGTAATCACCTGCACCGAGAAAAATGTTTTGTTCAGTTTCATAAAAAAAAAAAAAATGACTTTAGCTTAAGATGTAATTTTGATTCTATTATCAAAGAATTGTATTTAAGTATAAAAATCCTTGTCACTTGAGGTTTTAATATCTTAGCTCATACCATTGAAGACCAATGAATTCTTGTTTCATTTGTAATTTTCAGATAGAAATATTATTGTTACTAATATATGATAAAGAACAATTATTAATCTCTCAATGCTTTGAAAATGATTTCTCTACTAAAAATGACTTTTTTTTTCATAAAGGTTCTTTTTGTCTTAAGAAATTTGCTTTGCTTTTTTTTTTTTATATATATTTTTATTGATATCACAAAAATGATTTTTACACTTGCAAAATTCAAGAAATACCAAAGAAAGATGAGTGATTACCAACTGAAATAGGATTTAAATAAAAATTAACTTGCTTAAATTAAACAAGTTAATATTTGTTTTAGTTTAAATTGGAAGCCTTTTCAGATTTTTCATTTTTATTTTATAAAGTTTTATTAATTCAGCAAATTCATAATCAGTCTTTGAGTGTTGGAATAAAAACCAGGCTTAGATTAAAGGACATTTTTCTCTGAGAGAATAAAGTACAAATTGTTAGGACCTTCATGACAGTATTTACTTTTTATTTAAGAAAGTGTTAATTTAATGGTTGTATATGTGAATTTGCAATATTTTATTTAAGCAGCATTTCACAACCCCCCTTTTTTTTCCTTCCTTCTAGATAAAACAAATTTTAGAAGGCAAATTGTTTCCAATGAAAGCACTTGGCTATTTTGCTGTTGTAACTGGAAAAGGTGAGTTTGATTATTAAATTATTCAATACTTTGGAAATAATACTTTTTGGCACATGATACAAACTTAGGATACTATTCAATTACTTTTGATACAATTGCTGAGCTTGGAGTTTTATCACTGATTATAGAGGTTTAAGTAATGAGAAAAAAAGAATCTGTTCTGCCCTCCCAAGAGTATGTGTCCATGTTGTATGGTAAAATGAGAATAGAAATAAATACACATATACACACAGTTAGTCTGGAAATACAAACAAGGTTAACAAGAAAAAATAAAGGCAGCTGGAGGCTTGAACATAAAACTGAAACCATTTGTCAAATAAATGGGTAAAGGAAGGTAGCAATTATTTGTATAAAGTTTGCTATGCGAATACATTCCAATGTCACAGTGAGTTCAGAAAAGAAAGTTACAAGAAGGTTACATTTTGCAACAGTGTATGTGGACATGTGTTGAAAGGAGAGATTAAAATGTAAAATAAATGTATGAAATTAGGCTACATTAAATAAATGTT